AACCACTTCCATCTGAAGAGATTACTTCATGTTTACCTGCTAAACCACCCTGCCCAGAAAAACCATTAGCCCATCCACTCCCATCTAATAAGATTAGCCCTAGCCCAGCTGCCTCTAAAGAGTCCTTGCCTGAGTCACATTGCCTGGGGCATCACCTGAGGCAGATGCTTTACAAGACAATGCTGAATGTTCTCAAAACAATTCCACACCACCCATTCTGGCTTCTAGACCTATAACTAGACTTACGTCCCAGCGAGCCCGAAAAGGTGAACTGCAAAGTGTGACCTAGGAGGAGATACGCTACACTCCAAAAGAACTGCTTGATTTTTCTAATATATACAAATGGAAACCTGGGGAATATATTCGGGAATGGCTATTAAGGATGTGCAAGGAACATAAAGATGGATAAGTCTGAGTTTATTGATATGGGTCCACTAAGCACAGATTCTTCATTCAATGTTTCAGCTCGAGAAGTTAGGAAAGGATCTAATAGTTTCTTTGGTTGGGTTGCTGAAGCGTGGATTACAAGGTAGACTACACTAAATCAAGTTGAAGTACCAGACCTGCCTTGATATACTGTAGAAGAAGGTATCCAAAGGCTTATGGAAATTTGCATGCTAGAGTGGATTTATCAGGTTAGACCCACAGACCCACACGTGGAGTGCCCAGAGGACACACACCTTTTACCACACCTGTGAGGAACAAATTTGTGAAGGGAGCTCCAGCATCCTTGAAGACTGCTGTGATTGTTGTTTTATGTAAATCAGATTTGACTGTGGGAACCACCCTAACTGACTGGACCCCGTGGTAGTAGGGGCCAAGCGGTGTACTCAACAGACAAAGACAAGGTGGGGGTTGTTACAGTAATGGACAGCGGAGTCAAAGTAGTAATCAGAATACTCTGACTTGTATGGACTTATGGTGTTGGCTACTTAGTTTTGGTGTCCCTAGGAGTGAAATAGATAGGAAATCTACTAAATACGTACTTGATCTGTACAAATGGATGAATTCTAGGTCAGATGAATGGCAGTCTAACTTGAATGCCCAGAATAGAGACTCAGGTTCCCTCAATCAATCAATTTCAAGATTTGAGTGAGTTTAAAAACCCACAATCCCTTGAAAGAAGGGGAGGCCAGGTCCTCTTGAGGAAGGACTCCAATGCACTGCCCAAAATTTTTACTGTTCATCTTTCTCACAGCTTTCCCCAAAAGGATCTACAGCCTTTTATGAGAGTGACTGTTCATTGCGGAAAAGGAAATAATCAGACTTTTCAGGGATTACTGGATACTGGCTCTGAACTGACACTAATTCCAGGAGACCCAAAACATCACTGTGGCCCACCAGTAGAGTGGAAGCATATGGAGATCAGGTTATTAATGGAGTTTTGGCTCAGTCTCACAGTAGGTCCAGTGGGTCCCCGAACCCATCCTATAGTGATTTCCTCAGTTCCAGAATGCATAATTAGAATAGATATACTTAGCAGCTGGCAGAACCCCCACATTGCATCCCTGACAAATAGAGTAAGGGCTATTATGGTAGGAAAAGCCAAGTGGAAGCCATTAGAACTACCCCTACCTAGGAAAATAGTAAACCAAAAGCAATACCGCATTCCTGGAGGGATTGCAGAGATTACTGCCGCCATCAAGGACTTGAAGGATGCAGGGGTGGTGATTCCTGAAGGACAGTGGTGAAGGGAAATCCTCTCAATGGGCAGAACTTCAAGCAGTGCACCTGGTTATTCACTTTGCTTGGAAGGAGAAATGGCCAGATGTGCCACTGTATACTGATTCATGGGCTGTGGCCAATGGTTTGACTGGATGGTCAGGGACATAGAAGGAACATGATTAGAAAATTGGAGATGAGGATTGATGGGGAAGAGGTATGCAGATAGACCTCTCTGAATGGGCCAAACAAGTGAAGATATTTGTGTCTTATGTGAATGCTCACCAAAGGGTGACCTCAACAGAGGAGGATTTTAACAATCAAGTGGATAGGATGATGCGTTCTGTGGAAACCAGTCATCCTCTTTCCCCAGCTACTCCTGCCATTGCTCAATGGGCTCATGAACAAAGTGGCCATGGTGGCAGGGATGGAAGTTATGCATGGGCTCAGCAACAGGAACTTACACTCACCAAGGCTGACTTGGCTACAGCCACTGATGAGTGCCCAATCTGCCAGCAGCGGAGACCAACCCTGAGTCCCCGATATGACACCATTCCTTGAGGTGAACAGCCAGCAACTTGGTGGCAGGTTGATTACATTGGACCACTTCCATCAGGGAAAGGGCAGCATTTTGTCCTTACTGGAATAGACACTTACTCTGGTTATGGATTTACCTTCCCTGCATGCAATGCTTCTGCGAAAACTACCATCTGGAACTTACAGAATGCCTTATCCACTGTCATGGTATCCCACACAGCATTACCTCAGATCAAGGGACTCACTTCACAGCAAACGAAGTGCGGCAGTGGGCCCATGCTCATGAAATTCACTGGTCTTACCATGTTCCTCATCATCCTGAAGCAGCTGGCTTGATAGAACGATGGAATGGGCTTCTAAAGACACAATTACAGTGCCAGCTAGGTGGCAATACCTTGCAGGGATGGGGCAGTGTTCTCCAGGAGGTTGTATATGCTCTAAACTAGTATCCAGTATATGATACTGTTTCTCCCATAGCCAGGATTCATGGGTCCAGGAACCAAGGGGTGGAAATGGGAGTGACAGCACTCACTATTACCCCTAGTGACCCACTTGCAAGATTTTTGCTTCCTGTCCCCACAACCTTATGCTCTGCAGGTCTAGAGGTCTTAAATCCAAAGGGAGGAATGCTCCCACCTGGAGACACATCACTGATTCCTTTGAACTGGAAGCTAAGAATGCCACCTGGCCACTTCGGGTTCCTTATGCCTCTGGATCAACAGGCAAAGAAGGGAGTTACCATACTGACTAGTGTGATTGATCCTGATTACCAAGAGGAAAATGGATTGATATTACATAATGGAGGTAAAGAAGAGTATGTCTGAAATGTAGGAGATCCCTTACGACGTCTCTTGTACTACCATGCCCTGTGATTAAAGTCAATGGAAAACTACAGCAACCCAATTCTGACATGACTAATAATGACCCAGACCCTTCAGGAATGAAGGTTTGGGTCACCCCACCAGGCAAAGAACCATGACCAGCTGAGGTGCTTGCTGAGGGCAAAGGGAATACAGAATGGGTGGTGGAAGAAGGTAGTTCTAAATACCAGTTATGGACACTTGATCAGTTGCATAAATGAGGACTGTAATTGTTATGAGTATTTCTTCCTTCTTTGTATGTGTACATCAAATATTTTTGTTTTCTTCACTTATAAAATATAAGATGTAAAGGGGACTAGTGAGTTTTTGGTTGTATGCGTGTTAGTTGTATCATGTTAGGCACCAGTATGACTTTATAATTGCCTTTATTCAGAGATTATGTATGGTTTAAGGAGATATGTACGTGTGCCACGTGGACAAGGTGTGGACTGTGATGGTTAAGATTGTGTGTGAGCTTGGCTGGGCCATGATTCTTAGTGTTTATATTTGATCACTCCCATGATGGAATCTGCTGTGAGAAGCCAATTAGTAGAAGGGGATTTTCCTTGGGGGTGTGGCCTGTATTTGAGTATAAGCAGATGTTCTTGCTTTTTGCTCGCTCTGGATCCTGCAGTTGCCTCTTGTTCGTCTGACCTCTGGTTCTTGGGACTTGAGCTATCAGCTTATCTGCTGATCTTGGTATTCGTCGATCTTCACAGCCTGTGAGCAAGAGCCTTGCTCTCCGCAACCTGCTGATCTTGGGTTCAGCAGCCCCTGTGGCTACCAGAATTGAGGGAAGCCTCTATCCTGATCCACGGACTTGGTACGTTCCAGCCTCTACAATCATGTGAGCCTTTTCCTTGATATAAATCTCTCTATATATATATTTATATGCTTTACTGGTTTTGCTTCTCTAGAGAACCCAGCCTAAGACAGTGTTGTATAGGTGATAAACTAGATGATAAACCTTTTCCACTCAGTGAATACACTATCTGTTATGAATGTGAAAGGTCTATTCCCCAGGTGCTGGAAAGTTTGTGAACTGAGCTCCCAACTGTAAGTCCTCTTTGGGAATTGCTTCTGTTGAAGAGAGTGACCTGGCATAAGGTCACACATCTCTCTTGGGGGGCAGCCACATTTAATGACTGGTCTCACTAGAGGTATAGATGAGGCCTGGCTCCCTCATCTCAACTTAGGAACTCTTAAGTGTCATATCAGATTCAAAGCTCCCCATGGAGGTCAGATAAGTTATTGTTGTAATTACATCACAGCCCAACTTCTCCCTCTGCCCAATCCGGTTTTCTTCTCCTTTGCCTATGCATGTGGATCCGAAGAGCACTTCCCAATAAACCTCTTTCACACTGATCATAAGTGTGCTATAGATCACATATTTGGGAACCACTATGATGCCCTGGTGGTGCAGTGGTTAAGAGTTACTGCTGCTAACCGAAAGGTCAGCAGTTCGAATCCACCAGCTGCTCCTTGAAAGCCCTATGGGGCAGTTCTATTCTGTCCTATAGGGTTGCTATGAGTTGGAATCGACTCACTGGCAATGGGTTTGGTTTGGTTTGGTTTCCATGCTTGGGGAGCTTAGAATCTGGTAGGAATAAGATAGTAATAATACCTAGAACAAGGAGAGCATGTGAGCCACCCCAGGCCAATGCTTGGATAAGGAAAGCACTCAAGATAACTTGAGAGTGCAGTGGTTCTCCTCATGAGGAGTCAGAGATGTTTTCCTCGATATTGTTATTGTTATTCACACCTCTTAACTGTCTTTCCTCTGTGTGTTTCAGCTAATTGGGAAGAGTGATATTTTCTGCTTGTATTTGTCTTTGTGAACTTATTTTAAAGGATTCAATTTAATTTTCAAAGAAAAGGAGGTGAAGTGGTATATTTTCCCCTCCAAAGACAAAGGGGTAAAAAGGCACATCGCATATTAAACAACATTTAATAAATTTAATAAATTAATAAGAAGTATCACAAAAATCTGCAGTGGATAACACACAGGAACCAGGAATAAGACAACGCTTTGCAACCATTCACAAAAAGTACCATTTGAAGAAGGAGAAGATTTACAGGAAATAATATACGGCAGTCTATTGCACGTGTCTTAAACAGGTATACATAATAGTACATCAAAATGATTTATTTGACAGTGAATTCACCATGTTTACATTTATCACATGGACTTTTTTTAAAACATCTATAAAAGTTTGTAGATTTAACACCGAACTGTAAGATTTATATCCAAATGAGTATATTTGTTTCATACCAAACTGCACAGAATTTACGAATAGCACACAATTTGAAGATAATTATTGTGTTGGGTACTATTATTACTACTTGATGACATAAGAATTATTAACAAATGTGCTATAAGCTATTATCATTCAACTTATTGCTAGTGCTTTTGAAAATTCACGGTTTCTACTTTATTTCTTTGTAAAACATGTGCTATGAGCGTGCCCTGATAGTTAAGAAATCAGATGTTTCCAATTTTCACTAATACTGACAATCCTTCTCATCTGAATGTGTGATCTCTTTAAGGACTGCTGAAGGATTTTCTTTAGTTCTTCTTATATCAGCTACCCTGCCCTACATCAATACAAATCGATGGATTCATGCAACATACATGGCATACATGCAGGGCACCATCTGTATGGGCAGAAATCATACTAAGTGCATGCTGTGTTTCTTCAGACATTTTCATCTCAGTAGGAATTAGATCAACTCATTCAATTTCATATAATTGTTTTAACATGCAGTTCAGCAGAGCTAACAGGCAGGTAGACTTTACCTTCGTGTTATATTTGGGCATGCTCAAGCAATTGACTGACGTTTGGCAGTGTTGCAAATCAAGTGGAGACTGTATGAGTTTCCTCAAATACAGCACCTCTCCCACTGCCCCTGGGACAGACTGTTCGAATTACCTATGCTGTGTGTTGAGGACACACACCAGGAGTTTTAGAAATTCAGATTCTGCAGTTGCCAATTTTAAGAAAGTGAGAGGCACACCCTAAGGTGTGCAAGTAACTGTCAGGCGTAAGAAATAGCATCATGAATTCTTCGGAAATTTATCCACAGTTGTGTGAAATGGGCACACATGGAAAAATAGTTACTGGAAACACTTGTATACTCTGCACACAGCATAGACTTAATGGTCTGACTTTAGCAATGCTTGAAAACCTTTTATGGTTAACAAACTATTAAATGGTACTGAATTCTTAGAGAGCAGTAGGCCCACGAATGAAACGATGGCCAACACTTATTGTAACACAACACTATATTTTAACAAAGGTTTAAACTTCTGGTACATAATTGCAGTACAATGAAGAGCTTGCCACTTTCACAAATTAGCTGCAGCCTTTTCCTGCACTAGAGAGTTTGGAAGGATCTGAAAGTATGATCAATTTTATTTAAAATCCAAATGGAAACTCTGAATTTCTGTTATTCCCAGAGTTCAGTGAAAGTGTTTTTTTAATTACTTTTTTTGAACATTCTAAGGGCCTAATTCTGTAGTCCTTAATCAAGTCAAACTTCCAAGGTTTTGATCGCCTATGCTTGCAATACAAGTTTTACTCAAAAATGGACTACGAAATTAGGTCCTATAGATAGAGGTACCATAATTAAGAAAATATTTTAATAAGGCTCAAAATGCTAATTTAACTTTGTGTATAGCACACGAATTTCCAGGATCCTGAGATCAAAACCCAATTGATGTTGAATCCTGGATTGGGGAACAGCTCTGGGATCTCATTTCCCAGTTTAATCATGGAATTAGGTATTTACTAAGGACCAGAATGAAACCACTAAATCCAGTTTGCTTTTCAGAATTGCTAATCAGAATTTAAACATTGTAAGAAGTGAAAAGCTGTTGGTGTATAGATCTCTTATCATCCTCCCACTTCTGTAGTCCTGGTTAACCAGCTGCTATGTTAAAATACCACTATGTTTGGGGACAGACATTGCAGTAAAATATCAACACAGCATTCTGACAATGTCAAATTTTGCCCCTATATGTAACAACAAGGTTAAGTTCTGCCTTTGACTAACTGATAGATGTGATAGAGTGTCAAAAGGCAGAACTTATTTTACTGTGTTTATGTGTGTACATGAGCTGAGCAAGAATTTAAAGTACATATTTACTGTTAACCCGGAAAAAGATTCCACTGAATTTGGTAATCTTGGTGTGGTTGAAATATAACCACTATTGTGTGCATCATTCTGGTCTCCTGCAAATGCCACCTGAGATAAACATCAACATTTTCTTATGCATGAAAAGAAAAAAAGGAAAGACAGAAGGAAGGAAGGAAGGAAAGAAGGAAGGAAGGGAGGGGGGAAAAGGAAAAAAATCAACATTCTATTCATCAAGAAATCAAAATAAGTTATTTTTAATCTGTTATAAACAGTAAATATAGAACCCTAAATCTCACTATTATGCATGATTGTAAAGTACAGGATTGCAAAGCTATATATAAAAACACTGTTTTTTAAACAGAAATATTTACATTAGTTATAACCAACAGAAAAATTAAAGAAGAAAATTTTCCTACGCTTGTGTTTGTGTAGGAAAAGACTGTGCTGCTCTTTCTTACACACTACTAATCCTTTCACTAACTACATTGGACGGATTTACTGGTAGCTCCAAAGTCTCAACTTGCATCTCTATACCAGGCTCATTGTCGTTGGATTTCTTAATCACCGGTTCATTGGTATGCCTGTAAATGTTAACATTAAGCTCCCTCCCAGACAAAGCAGTGGCGGCAACTCTCGGAATCTGTCTGACAGGAGGCTTTTTTTCTGCCTTATAATGGCAGCGCAAATAATTGGAGAAAGCCCTTCGGTAAATTTTGTTGAAGAGCGTGTACACCAGAGGATTAATTCCTGAACAAACATAGCCAATCCAAACAAACACATTCAGAAGCTTTTCCATGAGCTTTTGGTTACAGGCCTTCTCACAAAGAACTGACAGGATATTGGTAATAAAGAACGGACACCACATGATCAGAAAGACAAAGAAAACTATCCCAAGGACTTTTGAAGCTTTCCTTTCATTGTTGATAGCCTGCATGGTGCCCCTAGGACGTCGATCTTTCTTCTTTCTTCGGCGTTGGTTCGAATCTTGGTTAGGGTTCCCAGAGTCCTCTTCATTGGCAGCATTCCTCTTGCAGCACTTGAAGAAATCCAAGCTTAGTCCAGGTGGTTCCTCGGTGTGGCCGTGCAGTAACATCAAAGCTTGTCTTCGAAGAACGTGAATCGTCAGACAGTAGGTGATCACCATGATCGTCAACGGTATGAAGAAAGCTACGAAGGACCCAATGAGAACAAAATTTGGGTCATTCAGCACGCAGGTGGTGTTGTTCACGAACACTTTGCTTTCGTCCCTCAGTCCAATCACTGGGATAGGAACTGATACACCTACAGGAATTAAAAAGTAGAACATTGTTACAGCATACTGAAAGGATTGGATAAATTTGTACAATGGCATACTTTAGTTTGCATTTTACTGAAGAAAATTTAGACCTCATTTTTGTTGAAAGCTATTCACAGCATAAATTGATAGTAGCGTGAAACAGTAGTAGTATAATCTCAGAAAATGACTGCCTTTTTCATGTTAGGAATGCCTTTCCCTCTCCAATTTCTGTAGAAGGCATGGAATTACCATTATTAAGCTGTTGTAAACATGGCTGTGCCTAAGAGAGGATTATATCTTTTTTGCTTTATTTCCAGTTCTTAGAAGTGTCCTGGCTCATAGAAGGCACTCAATAAGTATTTCTTGAATGAATGATTAAATTTACATCTGTACTCAGTGACATTAATGAAGCCAATCATTCCTTCTTCTAGCATACCATTTTCCAAATTCAATAAAAATGAGATGTGTACCACCTATTAGAGTAATAATAGTGCATCAGGGTGGGCTGGGATGAGTTTGTGATGAGTTTATCGCTGACTGCATTCGTTTACACTTCCCTTCTTTCCCAAGGAAAGGGATCAAGAAGAAGAAATTTTATGCCCTGAGTTCCTTGGAGACAGGACCTGAGAGCTCTGGAGTTACTGTGAGAGACAACAGTATGGGTGCCCAAATGTGCTACAGGGAGTAGGTATGACCACTAAGCAGAAATAGTCTGTAAACAGAAACAGCAAGGGCTCTTTTTTAGCAAGGGTTTTTGTAGACTCTGGGCATAGGCAGTGTTGGGTCAAGGATAAGAGACAGTGAAATGCAGAGTTGGGGAGAGATGCAGTCCTCTCATTTCTGAGCAGAACATTGAGCGTTTTTGTTGATTGGTTGATTTAGAGTACTGAGAGGCGGAACCCTAGGTAAGCATCTCCTTCAATAAATAGGATTGCAGGCAGAAAATATCAGCAAGCAGGTGAGAGCAGAAGGTGATCTTGTTCCAGAGCATCAGTAAGAAACCTGGGAACTTTCAGAAATTGCTATGGCAGGTCTTGAAGAAGTCTTGCATCAATAACGAGGTATAACTTGAAAGTGAAATTCAAATTTTAATGTTAATTTATCCTTTCTTGTACCCTCAGAATGTTGAGACCTGGGAAACATCAGATTTCGCTTTTGGGATTCTATCACAAATTATTAGAGATGCTGAGCTAATGCATATCTACACCATGAACTGTGAGAAGAGATAGAAGTAGACTCTCAGAGATCATTGCTGGCTTTAGGGAATACCAGTGAACTAAACCATGGTGGTGTAGTGGTTAAGAGCTACCACTACTAACCAAAAGGTTGGCAGTTCAAATCCACCAGATGCTCCTTGGAAACTCTATGGGGGCAGTTCTACTCTGTCCTATAGGGTCGCTATGAGTCGGAATCAACTCAACGGCAACGGGTTTGGTTTTGGTACGGGTGATGAACCTGAAACATAAAGACCTGATCTGTTGCTTTAACATCTGTAGTCAGGTATAGAGTGTTTCGCTGGATTGTCAAGAGGGGAAAAAAATGATCAGTGCTTACTGAGCTTACTGAGAATGTTGATCTATGTTTGATATCTGGGAAGATACAAGGGAGAGTGTTTGGAAAGCTATCTTTAAGCCTTCTTCCTTAAACACTGAATTTCTAAAATGACTGGCCTTTTTCTAGAGAAAGAGGCCAAGTGACAGTGTGAGATGCAATAATAGATGCGACAAAGACTCCTTGGGGTATTGGTCCATGCCTACAGCTCTGAACCTAGGTATGCAATTCAAGAAAGTAGGAAAGCCTGTGAAAATTAGGAGACACTGCAAACTGAAAGTATTCTCAGGTAACACATTGCCAGATCCTGGTAAAGAGAACTTTGAACCCTGGAAGGGAAGAGTGGCAGGTATTAGAAGGGAAACACAGAAGGTAATTTCTCACCAAATTTGGTGAAATTTTTGGGAGAACTTCAACAAGCCTTTTGGAATATAGAGAGCAGCAGAACCACACAGGTTACATTTCTTAAGAGTTATAAAAAGGTAGGCAAGAAAGCTGCCAGCTGTGTATCATTAAAAAAAAAAACAACAATCCTTTATTTAAAGTCAGAAATATAAGACCACCTCTAGAAAGAGTACAGATCTAGTTTGCCAGAAAGAAGTCAGTACTAACTTACCCTTAATGAAATGTGTTAGTGAAGGGTTAGGCTGCAGGAAATTCTCTGGAATTATGGAAATTAATATGGGATTGTGTCATCTGCATATCACTTGCTAAGAGTGAAGAGGACTTGAAACACAGATGAAAATCAAAGACCACCACCTTCAGTATGGACTACACCTCAAAATAAAACTAAAATCCTTACAACTGGACTAATAAGCAACATCATGATAAAGGGAGAAAGTATTGAAATAGTCAAGGATTTCATTTTACTTGGATCCACAATCAACACCCATGGAAGCTGCAGTCAAGCAATCAAATGACATACTGGGCTGGGCAAATCTGCTGCAAAAGACTTCTCAAAAGTGTTAAAAAGCAAAGATGTCACTTTGAGGACTGAAGTGTGCCCAAGCACTATTTTCAATCACCTCATATGCATGTGAAAAGCTGGACAATGAATAAGGAAGACTGAAGAATAATTGATGCCTTTGAATTATAGTGTTGGCGAAAATACTGAAAATACCATGGACTGCCAGAAGAACTAACAAATCTGTCTTGGAGGAAGTACAGCCAGGATTCTCCTTAAAAGCGAAGATGGTGAGACTTCGTCTCAAATACTTCGGACATGTTATCAGGAGGGATCAGTCCCTGGAGAAGGATATCATGCTTGGTAAAGCAGAAGGTCAGTGAAAAAGAGGAAGACCCTCAACAAGATGAATTGACACAGTGGCTGCATCAAGGGGCTCAAGCATAACAATGATTGTGAGGGCGGCGCAGGACCGGGTAGTGTTCCTTCTGTTGTACGTAGAGTCGCTATGAGTCGGAAGCAACTCGACCGCACCTAACAATAACAACAATATGAGATTAAGAAAAGAGGGAAGAGTTTCTTCAAAATAAATAAATAAATAAAAAGAAATATATTGTAAGGGAAAAAACTGGAGGGAGAACCTATAGAATAAAAGAGACTTAAAAGACCTATCGAGGGATTGCAATATGTGAATCTTATTGGATCTTGATGTAAACAAACTTTAGAAAATATTCATGACACCATCACAAAAGGATAAATATTGTATGAGACCACTACTATAAAAACTCATGAAAAGGTTTACACACAAAAAGAAACAAACCTTTTGTGTGTAAACGAGGGAGGGTAGGGGTGGGAAGGGAAAACACTAAATAGACAATAGATAAGTGGTAACTTTGATGAAGGGTAAGACAGTACTCTATACTGGGGAAGCCAGCACAACTTGTCGAAGGCAAGTTCATGGAAGCTCCATATACACATCCAAACTCCCCGAGGGACCAAATTATTGGGCTGAGGGCTGTGGGACCATGGTCTCATGGAACATCTAGCTCAACTGGCATAACCTAGTTTATAAAGAAAATGTTCTACATTCTACTTTGGTGAGTAGCATCTGGGGTCTTAAAAGCCTGTGAGGGGCCATCTAAGATACTCCACTGGTCTCATCCCTTCGGGAGCAGGGGAGATTGGAGAGAGTAGGATACAGGGAAGGGATTGGTCTCAGTAAAAACAAAACCTACAAAAACAAAAGAAATGAAAAAAAAAATCCACAAACAAAACGAACTCAGCACAGGAAAGTAAGAGGAACAAAACTGGAGGATATTATGCTGAGTGAAATAAGTCAATCACAAAAGGACAAATATTGTATGAGACCGCTACTGTATAACTCATGTAAAAGTTTACACACAAAAAGAAACAATCTTTGTTGGTTATGAAGGATGGGAGGGGTGGGGGTGGTGGTGAACTAAATAGATAAGTGGTAACTTTGGTGAAGGGTACGACAGTACACATTACTGGGGAAGCCAGCACAACTTGTACAAGGAAAGGTCATGGAAGCTCCATAGACACTTCCAAACTCCCTGAGGGACTGAATTGCTGGGCAGAGAGCTGTGGGGACCAAGGTCTCAGGGCACATCTAGCTCAACTGGCATAACACAGTTTATAAAGACAATGTTCTACATTCTACCTTGGTGAGTAGTGTCTGGGGTCTTAAAAGCTTGTGAGTGGCCATCTAAGATACTCCACTGGTTTCACCTCGTCTGGAGCAAGGGAGAATGAAGAAAACCAAAGACACAAGGGAAAGATTATTCCAAAGGACAAATGGACCACAACTACCACAGCCTCCACCAGACTGAGTCCAGCACTACTCTATGTTGCCTGGCTACCACCACTGACTGCTCTGACAGAGATCACAATAAAGTGTCCTGGACAGAGCTGGAAAAAAAGGTAGAACAAAATTCTAACTCACAAAAAAAACAAAAAAAACACACTTACTGGTTTGACAGAGACTGGAGAAACCCCGAGAGCCCGAGAGTATAGCCCCCGGAGTAATTAAGTCACTCCTGAGGTTCACCCTTCAGCCAAAAATTAGACAGGCCCATAAAACAAAACGAGACTAAACAGGCACACCAGCCCAGGGGCAAGGACGAGAGGCAGGAGAGGACAGGAAAGCTGGTATAGGGGAAGCTAATGCTGAGAAGGGGAGAGTGTTGACATGTCGTGGGGTTGGCAACCAATGTCACAAAACAGTATGTGTATTAATTGTTTAATGAGAAACTAGTTTGCTCTGTAAACCTTCATCTAAAGTACAATTTAAAAAAATTTAAAAAAATGTTCATGACATTCATGAGTCAATTAGAAATTTGAGCAATGATTGGTTTTTTGATGGTATTAAGCAATCATTGCTCTTTAGTTTTTTAGCTATGATGATAATATTGTGGTTACATAGAAAAAGAGTACTTATATTTTTAAATATACATACTAAAGATTTATGGATGAAGCGTTATGATGTCTGGGGTTTATTTCAAAATAATGTGCAAGCGAGAACTGGAATAT